AACTTAAAAACTCAAACAAAACTTAAAAGTTTTCTATGAATGCTTATTACTGTTTAAATCTTTTCGATGGAAATTGTATCGTCTTAAATGTATGTTTTACTCAAACAAGTCTATTCTAAAAATCAAATAGTAGCTGTCACACTCTTGGATAATGGGCTGCACGGTTACCATGACAATGACCATGGGCTGAAGCAAACAGAGTTTCGGCATGTAACGAAACTAGAAAAACGACCTGCCTGGCTAGAGGCAGGGCAATAAAACTATTATGGTAATTTAGTTTCTAATCTTAATTCTAGGAGAAACTGCCTTTGGGAGCAAGAGCTAACTAACCAGTCTACCAGGAAATAGAAGTTAAAAAATATCTAGGAAGAAGTAAAACTTAGAAGGGACAAGGTCTTAAAAAATAATTCTGCTATGCAACTTTCCATCAGGTGTATAGAGATTTACTTATAAGTTTTACTGCCATGTATGCACACTGGTCACTAATCACACGCCAATATTATAGGTATAACTGATATCCTATGTCAGAGGCGATCTTCCAGATGGGCCTTTACAGGCCTCAGCCATGTAGCTATAGATGTTGGCTCCCAACAATAAAGGCCATATATGGCAAACTTACAGCTAACAACATACTCAGTGGTAGAAAGGTGAAAGTGTTTCCTCTAAGATCTGAAATAAGACAAGGATGTCCATTCTTACCATTAATATTCAACATAGCACTGGAAGTTGTGGCCAGAGCAATTATAAAAAAATGAAAGGCATCTAAACTGGAAGAGAAGAATTAAGATGATCTGTGTACAGATGACATGATATTATATATAGAAAACCGTAAAGACTGCATAAAGAATCTGGTAGAACTAACATATGAATTGAGTAATGTCATAGGATTGGAAAAAACACAATACTCAACAGCATTTTAAACACTGAATTCAAACTATCCAAAAAAGCAACTATGAAAACAATCCTATTAAGAATAGCATCAAAAAATAAAGTACTGAGGAATAAGCTAGGTGCAGTGGCTCACACCTGTAATCCCAACATTTTGGGAGGTGAAGGCGAGAGGATTGCCTGAGTCCAAGGGTTTGAGACCAGCCTGGGCAACTTGGCGAGACCTCATCTCTACAATAAATAAAAAAACTTAGCTGGGCATGGTGGCACACTCATGTAGTCCCAGCTACTTGGAAGAGTGGGGCAGAAGGATTGCCTGAGCAACAGGGGAAGACTGACTCAAAAAAAAAAAAAAAAAAATTGAGGAAAAAACTTAACCAAAGAGATAAAAGATCCAAACACTGAAACATATGAAAGACTGATGCAAGAAACTGAAGAAGCCGGGCTCGGTGGCTCAGCCTGTAATCCCGCGCCTTTGGGAGGCTGAGGTGAGTGGATTGCCTGAGCCCACGGGTTCAAGACCTGCCTGGGCAGCGAGACCTCATCTCTACAATAAATCAAAAACTCAGCCAGGCGTGGTAGCGCATGCCTGTAATTCTGGCTACTTGGAAGGCTGAGTCGGAAGGATCACCGGAG